TGGTGGGGGGTTAGGGGTGGGGCATGACGAACAATAGTAGCACGGTCGTGGTGGGTGGTGATGGAATTCAATTCCTTCCATTATGCCAAGGAATGATGAATTCATTAATTTGTGGAATTCAATAGAATTTGAAGGATTCCATCCATTTCAAGAAATGAACCAAACAAAGGAATTGGAATTTGGTCAAAGGAATTTATCATTCCAATTCCATCAAATTCCTTCGAATTCCACGAACCAAACGACCCCTTAGTTTCTAACAAGTTCCTGATTTCTGTGAATAAAAAAAATCAGAAAAGTTGCATATAATTTTCTGTTCAGTTACAGTGAGGCTGTGTTTCTCCGAAATAAAAGTATATATATTCTTTAATCATAAACATTAACAGTTAAAACATCTTTGAACATAGAAGTATTTCAAGAAGAGGTGCTGTGAGTGTGTTTCTTGTAAGGTGTCTAATGGTGTCTTGCTTGGTGTCTGTTATATTTGTACTTATAAGGTATTTATTTCCTACAAAATATTTTACTTCAAATGTTCTTTTACCAGCATCTTATAGTACTGGGAATAGTCATGATGTTGGTAGAGAAATATTGGTGCAGCACCTGCTCCTTAAAGAAGAGGATAAAAATATTTTCTTGGAGCTGCAGAAAAGACTTGTACAAGGTTAGCGGTCATATTGATGTATTCTTTATTTGTTTGTCTCGGCGTTAGGTTTGGGAATTCAACATTTAACTATATCTTTATCTGATTACTTCAGAAACATGTCATTTTTTTAATCTTTATATTTCTCCTTTGTTACCTACAGGGGAGGATCTAAGCGACTTGGCTGTAGAATATTCAATTTGTCCATCAAAGGAGGAAGGTGGTATGCTTGGTTGGGTGAGAAAGGGGCAAATGGTATGAACCTGGATGTGTTGTATGGGTCGGACGTTCAAATATTCAATTAACTGGTGGCACTTTGCATTTCATGTAGTTTGTAATTTATAGTATGTCTGGTATTAAATGGTGGTCTATTGTTTTATTGTGAACCGTTGCAGGTGCCAGAGTTTGAGGAAGCTGCATTTAATGCTCCTGTAAACAAAGTTGTAAAATGTAAAACCCAATTCGGATGGCATTTATTGCAAGTTCTATCAGAGAGGTATAGTCCATTATTAATCTTCTTGTATAGTTTTGTATTTATGTTCTGGACTTGCAGCTTTTTATGAGAGCTGATTAGGAGTTTTACATAATCCAATTTCAGGGAAGAATCAGTACTTCAAGACATTCAACCCGAAGAACTTCATACAAAGTTGCAAGATCCTGATTTCCTTGAAGATGCTCAATTCATTGATGTTCGAGAACCACATGAAGTGTAAGTCCATGTTTCATTTTCCTGCTTCTGGAACATTGTTAAGTGGCTTAGGTATTATACTTCAGACTAGGAAGCAGGGATCGTCCCCACCTTATCCCAAATTATTGGCTCAAATTTGTGGGGATGTGAGAATCGGGATAGGCAAGAGGGAAATTTTGTTTTTCTTTTGGGTAAAGTGAAGGGGAAATTTTCGTCTTCCTGTACCAATAAAGAAATGAAAATTCACAATTTGCAAAACTAAAAACAAATGCTCAAATAAAGAATAAACAAACCTGGTTTGTATGACCACTCATGAAGTTATTTTGCGGACAGTTTGAAGTAATAAGCATGAAAAATGTTGAATTCGGTAGAAAGATAGGGATATCTTTTATGCTTATTTCCTTCCTCTTATTTCTCTTTTACTTTAAGAATAGATTATGTTAGTTTTAGCTATATAAACCCATGTTGTATATGACAAAATATGAGTTATATGAGAATAATTTATTTCTTCAATAAGACTTAGGTTTTAGCATGTCTTTATCTTACATATTTAATGCATGACTCATGAAATAACTTGCACGATGTACACACATGTATAAACGCATTCTTTGAATCGTCAACTTTAGAATCTTCCAATCCTGGCATCTATGTATTATATGTATCGATAAACCCTTATCCATAATCCGACATAAGCTTTAGACTACACATTACATGTTTAATTGTATTTACCATGCTTACTGCAACTTCAGTTCTTTGTTTATGATGTTTGTATCTAAGTTCTGTTTTACACGTACTAGTCCTGTAACCATTTAAGAGTGGAATAGTTTTAAACTATAGTACTGTATTGACTTACAAATATTGCTACTCCAGCTTCTTCTTACAGAAAGAATTTGAAATGCACACCTTACAGGGCTGAATGCTATAAATGTTTGCTAAGATAGTATAGGACTTGAGTGCTTCCAATTTCTTCTATTTTTAAACTGGAATTTAATTGGGAAAGCATTGTAAAACATTCAATATTGTTCATCTGATAAATAAAAATGAAACAGCTAAATGACTACAATGGAATTCCACAAGGCTTGCAAAGTATACTGGGTCTGATGTTACACCGACTAAAAACAATCTGCTTGTAATCAGAGAGAACTAGGACCGAGATATTAGAGAGAATTCTCTATTATATGATTAACCTAAATATTCTAATTTACAAGAGGAGAAACACTATATATAGACATAATTACACGGGAAACCCTAACCCTAAAGCCCATCGGGCTTGGACACATTACCATAAACAGGTTAATTAACACTCCCCCTCAAGCTGGAGCATATATATTGATCATGCCCAGTTTGTTACAAAAAAGATGTGATTCGGTTCCCTGGTAATGCTTTGGTGAAGACGTCGGCTAATTGATTGCTAGTTCTGACATGAGAGGTTGAAATAGATCCATCTTCAAGCTTTTCCCGAGTGAAATGACAATCTATTTCAATATGCTTAGTTATCTCGTGAAATACAGGATTGCTTGCAATATGGATAGCTGCCTCGTTGTCACACCATAAATTCATCGGTTTAGATTGATTAAATCCAATCTCTCCCAATAGATTACGCAGCCATATCAACTCACAAGTAGTTTGAGCCATTGCACGGTATTCAGATTCAGCGCTTGATCTTGATACAACATTCTGCTTCTTGCTTTTCCAAGATACCAGATTTCCTCCCACAAAGACACAGTAGCCTGTTCGTCTGGTTGTAGGGTCTCCATCATAGTCTGCATCAGTAAACCCTTCTATGACATAATGACCATGGTTTTGGTACTTGATGCCATAACTAGGAGCTCCCTTCAGATATTTCAAAATATGACAGACTGCATCCCAATGTGTAGTTCTTGGAGACGACATAAATTGACTCAATACACTTACCGGAAAGGCAATATCGGGACGCGTGATTGTCAGATAATTCAGCTTCCCACAATTCTCCTGTACTTCTCTGGGTTCTCAAGAGGATCCCCATCATCAGACTTCAGCTTTACATTCGGAACCATAGGAGCTTCACATGGTTTCGTGTCGATCATGCCAGAATCATGTAGTATGTCAAGGCAGTATTTTAGTGATTCCGAGATACCTCAATACCCAAGAAATATTTCAGTGGACCAAGGTCCTTAGTTTGAAATTGAGATGCGAGGAATTCTTTCAACTTCTTAATTCCATTCTCATCACTGCCCGTAATCACAATATCAACATAAACCACTAGCAGGATACATCCAGAATCAGATGAAATAAATAACACTGAGTGGTCATATGAGTTTCTTCGTAACCCAAATGTAGTTACCACAGAACTGAACCGACCGAACCATGCACGAGGTGATTGCTTTAGGCCGTATAACGACTTCTGCAATTTACAGACCTTCCCAGACTCCCCCTGAGCAACAAACCCGGGGGGTTGCTCCATGTAGACTTCCTCTAGCAGATCGCCATGTAAGAAGGTTTTTTTCACATCTAATTGGTGAAGAGGCCAATTATAGGTAGCAGCTAGAGAGATGAAAAGCCGAATAGACGCCATCTTTGCAACAGGAGAAAAAGTCTCAGAATAATCCACTCCATAAGTTTGGGCATACCCTTTTGCAACCAAACGAGCTTGGGCATACCCCTTTGCAACCAAACGAGCTTTTAACCGTGCTATCGAGCCATTAGGATTAACTTTCACAGTAAACACCCACTTACAGCCAATTGCTCTTTTGCCAGCAGGTAACTCTACCAAATCCCATGTAGTGTTATGATCAAGAACATTGAGCTTATCAATCATAGCATCCCACCATCCAGGATGAGTCAAAGCGTTTCCAACCGTAGATGGAATAGGTATAGAATCAAGGGTAGAGACCAAAAAACGAGATGACATGGAGAGTTTATCATAAGAAACAAAGGAAGCAATAGGATACGTGCAGGAACGTTTACCTTTTCGGAGAGCAATAGGAGCGTCAAGATCAGGATCCTCATTTACTGGAGTGGGTATAGAAGCTTCAGGAGGTACATCTTCTGGGGATGGTGGATCTACAGATTCAGATGATATTGGTGAAGACGGAGGTCGTTCGCGCCTATTATATACATGAACAATGGGTGGTCTGGTGGCTTGAGTAGTGGACTCAGGAGTGGGTATGGTATAYACCAACAAGTCATCATCTTTCTCATTTAAAGGAGTCGGAGGGGAAATTGGGAAGAACSGCACGTTCTCATGGAAGGTAACATCCCGAGATACAATATAGCGGTTAAGATTGGGAGAGAAGCACCTGTAAGCCTTTTGGAGACGAGAGTACCCAAGGAACACGCATTTCAGAGATTTGGGATCAAGCTTGGTGATAGTGGGGCGTGTGTCACGAACATAGCATGTAACACCGAAGATCTTTGGCTCAATAGGGAATAATCGTTGTCCTGGGAACAAAACAGAGAATGGAGTTTCTCCATTCAGGACAACAGACGACATTCTATTGATAAGAAAACAGGCTGTTGATACCGCATCGGCCCAAAAAGACTTAGGGACGGACATCTGAAACAAAAGTGCTCGGGCAACCTCAAGGAGGTGACGATTTTTTCGTTCGKCTACCCTATTTTGTGCTGGAGTATCAACACATGAGGACTCATGAAGGATACCATTTTGCAACATATAGGATTGAATTTGTTGGGATACATACTCTTTTGCATTGTCACTTCGTAAGGTTTTAATAGATGTTTAAAACTGAGTTTGGATTTCAGAATGAAAGGAACGTAAATGATTAAACACTTCTGAACGGTTTTTCATGAAGTATAACCAAGTAGTTCGAGAATAATCATCTACAAACGTAACAAAATACTTAAAACCAGACTTAGACGTTACAGGACATGGGCCCCAGACATCAGAATGTACTAATTGAAATGGGGACGCAGCCCGCTTATTGACTCTAGGACTTAAGTGAGCACGTTGATGTTTGGCAAACTGACATGACTCACATTGTAAATACTGTAAATGGGAAAATTCAGGACACAACTTCTTGAGACTCTGTATGGAAGGATGACCTAATCGACAATGAACTTCAAAAGGAGATGATGAACTAGAACTTGCCAAGGAATATGGTTTGGGTGATTCAAATATGTATAGGCCATCCGACTCTCGTCCTCTACCAATAATCCTCTTCGTCTGCAAATCCTGAAAGACGCAATAATCAGGAAAGAATGAGACACTACAATTCAAAGTGCGAGTAATTTTGCTCACAGACAGTAAGTTAAAAGAAAATTTTGGTAGGCTCAGGACTGAGGATAACGAGACAGATGGGGACAATTTAACAGTGCCAGACCCAATTATTTGGGAGACAGATCCATCAGCTATTGTGACTTGAGCTGAGGATGCATGTTTATTGAAATTTAGGAGAAGGTGGGAATTWCCAGTCATATGGTCTGAGGCACCTGAATCAATGACCCATTTGGAGGAGGATGATACAAAGCATTTGTCAGAGTTACTTGTCTCAGCAAACATAGCAGTGGAAGCAGCGGGGTGCTCATTTACCAGATGAGGTTCCTTTTTGTGTCTCATAGCTGTGTCATCTGATGTAGTTGCAGCATGTGCTAAGGAGAGTCTCTGATTTCTAACCAGCCGTTTCTTGCAATTAAACTTAGTATGACCAAGTTCATGACAGTAGTGACACTCTACGTCTGAGTTAAAATCAGTTGGTCGATCATTGTGGCCTCCTCTAGTGCTACCCCTTCCACGATAGCCACCTCGAAAACCGCCACGGTATCCACCTCGGCTAAGTAAAGCCGAATTATGATCAGATGGTGGAGTAGGCTGAAAATCTTCATGCCGAAGAACCTGAGCAAGAGTCTCTTGAAGAGAAGGTATCATGGATTCATTTAAGAACTGAGATCTGATGGAATCATATTCTGGGCGTAAGCCAGTTAGGAAGCTTATGACAACAATCTATTCCCTTTGAGTCTGCATAGTTTTTACATCAGTACTCAATGGGAGAAGAGAGTTCATTTCCTCATATATCTTCTTGAATTCCATGGCATAGGCGGTAAGTGATCGGTCMTGTTGTTCCCCACGATGGAATGACTTACATACGCTGTAAATCCTTGAAATATTACTTTGTCCGGAGTACAGGAAGTCAAGATATTTTATTAGCTCTTTCACATATTCACAGTGACTGATGAAAGTTGAAAAGGAGGGCTCAATAGAATTTATAATTTGCAAGAACATACGGGCATCTTGTTGTAACCAAAGGTCATGATTACCCGTAGTGGGAGGGTCAGATTCTAGATGGGAAGCCATTCCCATACTTCGAACATACAAACGAATCGTTTTGATCCATTCGAAGTAATTGTTACCATTAAGCTTGTTTTCTTTAACTTTACTACTGGCTAAAATTATGTCAGGAACACGAGTACTACCAGAGGCTTTATCATCAGTGTTCGTCATATTAATTAAATCATAAACGAACACCCAAGGGACAGATTATCAAAAGAAACCAGACTAAATAGATAGCAATTAACAGAGTTTGACCAAACGGATAAGATCAGATCTGTTGCGACTAGATAACAGCAAAATTAGACCAAAAAAGGTGCCGGAAAACAAACCAGATGGGGATTCCGACCAGCAAAATTAACAGAGTTACTGTAACTCCGGCGATGAACAGTAACGGCGGCGAACCCTAGGCTCTGATAACATGTAATCAGAGAGAACTAGGACCGAGATATTAGAGAGAATTCTCTATTATATGATTAATCAGAATATTCTAATTTACAAGAGGAGAGACACTATATATAGACATAATTACACGGGAAACCCTAACCCTAAAGCCCATCGGGCTTGGACACATTACCATAAACAGGTTACTTAATTATCACTGCTCAATCGCTGACGTTAATGTCTGTCCTGTTGAACAGGGAGCGAGCTTATTTATCGGGATTTCAAGTTCTTCCTCTCCAGCAGTTTGGAAGCTGGGGACCAGAAGTCACTACGAAGCTAGATCCTCAGAAGGATACTTATGTTTTGGTGCGTGCATGCTCCCAAACGAATTATTTTCAGCACATGCTAGTTGCTTATATGTTGGTCTGTCATTGATAAGTGATTCATTTCTCTTGTGTTGGATATTTGGAGTCGAGGCTTCTATTTCAATTTGCTCCTACAGATTTTCACAGACAATTACTTGTCGAATTACCTCTTTCACACGAGACTAGGGTAGCAGACTAGGGGGAGCTGGAGAGGTAGAAGGTAGGGGATAGGGTTAGTGAGTTGGTAGTTAGTTTACCAGAAACCTAAGTTCGGTTATGTTTCCCTGTACTTGTTTCATTTTATCTTCTTCTTGCTTAATTTTATCTTCTTGTTGCTTAATTTTATCTACTTTCTCAATTTTTGCATATTTGTCTCTCTTATTTGGTTTGGTTTCGTAAGTTGCACCCAGAAATTACTTGGTTTCATAATCTCATAATGATTGGTGCATATCATCCTATCCATATGCCTGCATAATTGTTACTCTTATGACAGACTATTGTGCCAAAAGAGCCCCAGGATCCTGTTTATTATGTTTTCATTTTGAGTTGTTGGCGGTGGTTGATTGTTTGTTACTTTATGAACATTATCCTGAAGGTGATGGTGTGTGACCTATAATAACAACTTAAGCACAGGTATACACTAGTTTGCTAAAGTAGATTTCACTTTATAGAAAAGAAGATATAAGCAGTAAAATTTTGATTTCGCGTTTCTTGGTATTGTTCCATGTTAGTCGTTGGGTTTCACATCTTCTTGTGCAACAATAGTTCCTCGATAAAAAAAAAACATGACACATCAGAATTCAGATTGGGCAAAATTGTAGCAACACTTTTATGTCACAGTGCTCTGTTAGTGTAAGCATCATATCAATGTTATATTGGCATTTATGCAACACCTAATTAGGGTGTTAGAATCAAGCTCCTTGATGAAAAATCAACAAACATTTTCTCAAACATCAGTATTTTGGCAAAATCAAATATATGAACAACTTTGACATGGAAAATTTGAAAATTGGACAGCTATTGGCCCAAAACTCTTGAGATAAATTGCAGAGAATAATGGTAGATAAGGTTGTTGCTAATCGAAGCTAGTAACAAATCTGGTGTGCCGAGCTAGACAATTCGGAAATTGGAAATTGGTGACTGCTAACTGAAATAGATAAGCAGGACGACGTTGAATACCATTGGGCGTGATGTAGGGATTGTTGATGACATCAGCTAGCTGGTTTACTGGTGACTAGGGCGTTAGGCTATGAATGTCAAAGCTCTGATACCATAACAAAACTCAAGGTTCCAACTCAAAACCAATTGATGGTAATTGAAGCAACTCAACATAATATATACTTATGACAAGTATTTTCATGTTATAGGAACAACGACAAGTATTTTCATGTTATAGGAACAACGATCTCATTATCAAAAAGTCTATATGCATGCTTTTTGCTTGTAACTTATTATTGAATATGGAAAAGCTAAGTTCTCGGGTCACTACCATTCTGTTGCTCAAAATCCATTCACATGATTATTTAATTCTTGTTCACTAGGGACATTCAGAGTACACATCTTATATGTGTTTGTTGTCGCATTTGTCTCTTTATAACTGATCAAAACTTGGTTTATTCTTTAGTGTCATCATGGAGTGCGGTCGTTGCAAGTTGCCAAATGGTTGCAGACACAGGTAACTTTGCCCTCAGCTTCACCTCTATGGGTACTAAATCTAAGAAACTTTTTCCTTCTAGGAGATATGAATATTACTTTGGTTTAATTATGAAAAGGACAAATGTATTATATGTGGTCGATTTAACAATCTACTATAAATTTTGCCAATTTGACAAATATATTCATCTCTGTTGTGCAATTACTGAGTTGGTAAAAAGAATTTGGCTAGAAACCCGACGTGTGATGATAACAAAGAAGCAATAGGGCGGCCAGAATATTCTTTTGTCAGTTTTAGAAACAAATATTAGTCAAATAGGTAACTTTCATAATCATTTATCAAATTGCCAGACCATTGAATGTGATTTAATGTTTGGTAAATAACTCTTGCTCTGTAAAGAAGTTCATTTATTGCCTACAATAGTAACTTACTAAATGAAACATCAACAACCATCATTATAGCAACAAAGTGGACTGATTACTGCTGATTTAGGTGGTTGTGCAGATCATAACTACTTTACCCTTGGCATCTTTTCACTTTTAACATGCAATGTCAGCATGGCTTTTTTCATCTTGCACTTGTATGCATGGAACATCAATTTCGTCATAATTTTGATCTACAACACCTTCCCTTTCTAATTGCTCATGTATACTATTATCGACTCTATCTCCGTTTGACAATTGGCCTTTAAGTTATTTCTACCATGTCCATGTGGGGCTCTTTGCATCACTGGCAGATGATCATGAGTTGTTTTGCCTAGATTTTTTGGGGTAGAACAATACTGGTTCTAAGTCAAAATATGAATGTTAGAATTCTTCGTTTGTGAGTAGCTGGAATTGATGATTATTTGAATGCTAGTCAGTGAAATCTATGTTGTGCCCTAGCTGCACGTAGCCTTGTTACGAGTTGTATCTAGGCCCCTCACTAGTGATCGCACATGCGGGATTGGGAACCATGTTTATTATCATCATGGCGCATCGAATCACAAACAGTTGGAAGAACACCAAATACAATGATCTTAAAATGGTTTCCCATTTGTCTTAACTTGTGATGGCTTGTTTTTATTTCAAATTATGACCTCAAAATGCATAGCTTTTGCATCTATTCTAGATAGTGTCTCTTAAGTTCTGTTGTTCTGTATGTAAAGTAATATGATCCAAACATCATTCATCCACCCACATGGATTCTAACATTTAAATAATTTTCAGTATCTAACGAATTGTGGTATGAAGGGGTTTAGGAAAATATACAACATTTCTGGTGGAATCCATGCATATGCAGTCAAGGCTGATCCCTCGATACCCACATACTGAGCACCAAGCAGATTGCTGCTTACCTTTCTGTGACTTTTGATGGGGTGGTTGTGCTTAAGAAACAAGAGACTCTTAAACTAGCCAAGGTGAATTTACATTTCAAGTAGCTGTTGCTACTTTAATATCCACTCACAAAATTCTTTAATGTTGTTTCTTCGTTCTTTCTTCGGTAGTTGTCAGTTTCGTGATTCCGGTGCTTCTACTTTACATGTGTTTTTGCACACACTTGTATGTTATTATGTTACTATCTTCTCAACTGCCTCCTTGTAATTTTGTTTTCTTTGGAAGTTGAAACCACCTCTCTACAGTTGTTCTTATTGGTTTGGTAAAAAGCAAGAGCTTTCTTGTGAAATAAGAAACATAAAATCAAATTTTCTTGAAAGTGATGGTATGCATCGACATTCATCAAGTAAAAAACTTGATCTGTGACGTTGGAGTGAACAAAATAGATCCTACAACTATGGAAGAAGCTCTTGCTCCATTTCCCATGCATAGATCGGCGTCACCTTTGCTTAGCCTCCTCCTAGTTGGTGCATATTTCAACAAATATGAGAACCACAGCAAGACCAATGACGCATAAGAGTAGAGATGTTAGCCTCTATAACATGTATACCTTGAGTAAAAGTCACAACACATTCTTTCTTGATCTTCTAAAGGTTGAGAGGACATTACCAAAGTTTCCTTTCATGACTCATTTGGGTTTAAAGCCTTAAATAGATTTGGCAATTTTGAAGCTTCTCGACTTTTTCGTTTTGTCTTGTTTCTCCATCTTATTTATGAAAGCTCACTTTCCTCTTTTCTTGGCTTCAAACAGCAGATTTCCTTAAATGGTATATAACCTTCTCTTATTGATTATCCTTTGGGACTTTCATCACGAATCAGACCAAATGAAGAGGGAAGAAGACAAAGTGGCTTAGAAAACGATAAAAATAAGGGAAAATCTAAAAAAAAACTAACAATCTAATTTTGAATGATTAAGCCTTTAAACTATTTTTATGAATGATAAAACTCTTAAGCTTTCTAAAACTGGTTAAATACATTCATGTAACATGTAAAAACAGATTTTAATATCATAAAAATTTAGGAAAAGTCTAAAAGCCCCTACAAACTATCTGATTTTAAATGATCAAGCCCTTATCTTTATAATAGATAAATCCCTAAAAATTTCCTAAATCTCTTTGCCAAATAAATTCTTAAGCTTTTCTTTAATAAATAACTCGAACTTTTTTTGAAGAAATAAAATCATGAACTTAATTTTGAGTAAATAAATTCGAAACTTTTTCGGAACAAAATCATGAACAAAAAGTATATACAATTCCTCTCATCGACAACAAATTACAATGAACCAATTAAATAAAGAAAAATTATATTATTTTCATTATTAATTCTGAAACATATAATAGTTATGTCTAAAGAATAAATAGATACATACAATATATATATATATATATATATATTAAGTTAATGAACTTAATTTATGCTCTAACCATAACTTTTATATCCTTTAGAATTAGTAATGGAAATGGTATAAATTATCTTCGTTTAATTGGTTTATTGTATTTTGTTATCAGTGAGATAAATTGTATGTTAGGACTGAAATTCAGTGTAAAATTGTATTCGTTTTGAAAGTTAATTTTGTCTATAATTGTATTAAAATCATCTTGTTTGACTTTTCATAGGATAGTTTGACTTTGACTTTGTCTAGATGTTTGACCATATATAAAGGGTGAGTTGCTTGTAATTTTAGTGGGATTCTCATATTGTAAAATCTGAATACGTAATAAAGGTTTGATCATATTTGAGTTGTTGACTTTCTCTCTCAACTCTCAAAGTGTTCTTAGAAGAATCATTCAAATCTGCCATTGTTGAAGAGCTTTCATGAAGATTGATTAAGGTGGGACTATCAATTGGTATCAGAGCGGATTTGCAATGAATTTGACTGAAGAAATTGTTAAAAGTTGCACAGTTTTTTTTTTGGAAATTCATCTTGTATTCTTCATATTCATATTTTGTTCTTGAATGTTCTTCACATTTTTCATAAATTTTTTCTCAAATATTTCATTTTTGGATGTTTGAATGTTAAAATGATGATCATTGTAAAAGTTTTTAAGTCGTGAATCAGTGTTATTCATTCAATTTCATGATTTAACCATTGACTGTAAAGATTTGAAGAGATTTGTTAGTTTTATGAATTTTTGAAGTTCTTCGTGTTCTTATTAAAATTCATCAAAAAGATAGACTTTGATCCATTTTTGTATGAGTTTTTGTAATTTCTATGTTTGTTTGTTGGTTTGATCTAAGTTTGAATGGCATTTTGATTGGATCTTGTTATCATAAATCGCTTGGCTCTACTCATCTTGATGACCGATTTAAGTGGTAAGATTGTTAGGATATCCTTACATCGCTCATAGTGTGAGCGATTTAGTTTGGTATCGGTCATAACTTGAGCGAGTTAGTGTTTACATCTCACACTCCTTGAGCGATTAAGAATCAGCCTTGAGCGATTTAGACATAGCATTGATCGCTTTAGACTCATGTTGTGAGCGTTTTAGTTCATGTTGTGAACGATTTAGTTCATGTTGTGAGCGATTTAGTTCATGTTGAGAGCCATTTAGTTCATGTTGTGAGCGATTTAGTTCATGTTGTGAGCGATTTAGAACAAGTTGTGAGCGATTTTGTACAAGTCTTGAGCGATTTAGGCACTTCATTGAGCGATTAAGACTTAAGCTTGAGCGATTAAGATTTAGCTTTTAGTGATTTAGACTTAGTCTTGAGCATAGACTTGAGCTTAGGCACACCTTTGAGCGATTTAGACACTTTTTCATTACATGATTTGTTTGAGCCTAGCCTAATTTTTGCTAAGAGCCTTGCATGTATTCTTTTGTCTATCGACATTTTGAGTATATTTTTCTTGACCAGAGTATATTCTAGTTGAACATTCTTTTTGACCAGATTGTATTTCTTTGATCAATTTCTTAAACTGCATAGATTTTTTATTTGATTAATCTTGAATTTTTTTTAATGGCAGCTTTTCTTGAGAAGGAGAATAAAGAGTTAAGAGTTCAGATTTCCAAGCTGGAGAAGAGTATAGTGGACTATAAAGACAAATACATAAACATGTTTTCTAAAAATCATGCTAATGTGGAATTTATTGCAAATTTATAAAAGAGCATAAAGAAGCATTAGAAAGAGTTGAGAATGATTCCAAGTATCAAATTAATAAACTTGAAAAATCTTTGGATAATGTAAGAAAAGAATGTGATAACGAATTGAAAACATGGGGTAAATCTAATAAAGATTTGTTTAACAAACTCCAAAAAGTCCAGAATGAATCTAGAGCTGAGAGAAATTCTCCAGATAGAAAACATACTGAGACTGATGACTTAACTGATAAATTTCATAAGTCTGAAAGTGATCTGATTGAGTTAAGAAAGTTACTAAACTTAGAAAAAGAAAAGGTTTTGGAAGCTGAAAAGAGTTTCAATGTTGAAAGAACGGTTTTTGAAAAAGAGATTTATTGAATTAGAGAAACGATTTGATACTGAATGCTTATCTTATGAAAATAAGATCAATTCTCTTGAGCTGAATGCTAAATTTCTTTTGAATCAAATCTCAGATTTTGAACAACTTATCATCTTGGAACGAGCCAAGGTTGATAAAGAAAAGAAAAAGGCTGAACAAAAGCAGAAAGAACTAGATGAAGAGAAAAGACTATTTGTTCTTTAAAAGAAAAACACTGTCAAGAAACATGCAGCAATTGCCAAGAACTTACAGAGAAAAAGAAATGGCTTGACATTGCTTCTGAGAATGATAAGGGAAGTTCAGATTAAGAAAGAAAGAAGTTTGAGAAAGAAAGGAAAGTGTTTGATAAATTGAAGAAAGAATTAGAAGGTAAGTTTTTGGATACTACAAAGAAATTGTCTGATCTAGAAACAGAACTTGAAATTGAGCTGAAGATGAGAACAAAACTTAAAAATAAGTTTGATTTAGTTATTGTTGAAAGAGACCAGCTTTTACAGAAAGTCAAAGACTTTTCTTGTGCTCAAAGCTCAATTGGTWYTCCTTCTYARTGTAAAACTAGCTTCTATGACTGTTCCAAATCGAACAGTTATTCAAGCAGCCCTAAGTCAACTGTTTCTAAGAACTATTCTAGTTCTTTTAATCAGTATTATCAAGAGTATGTTATCGGATCACCCAATTATTCTTCTAAGATTAAAAGCATTTGGGTTAATAAATATGAATCTGTTTCATCATGTACTCTTGTTGTTACTAATCATCTTCCTTGTTTTGTAAGATCTACTACTGATTTGATTCATCTTAGCAAGAGAAGAATCATGTGCTCCACATGCAAATCAACACATTTTGTAAACAAGAAGACATCCAACAAATGGAGTACAGACAACAGATATCAGAAGGACTAGAAAGGTAAGAACATGTATGATTATAATAACTGGTATGGATCATATTATGTATATAATCATCCTGTTAATAGTGCAAAAAAGAAAATATCTAATAGAAATAGATGGTTTGGAAGTTACAACATACCTCAGCCCGATACTAACAAATAGGACCCAAATTCATTTGGGTACCAAAATCTATTTGATTTGATTTTGCAGGTGTGTCAATTTTGTGCTGATCATAATATCATATCAGTGATACAATAATGCAGGGGGAGTTGTAATTTGTTCCAAACAAGGCTTCTGAACAATACAGTTCATGACCCGTGCTTTACCGAGTGTGGTTTCTAAACACTCAGTTTAGGACCCGTGCTTAAAATGTTTTCTTATTTTTTTTTAAATTTTGAGCTGAATCGAAACATTTCTATAATCTACTTTCTAGGGGGAGTCTCTAGAAGTTCAATAAATGTTTTCGGGAAGTGAATAATTTTTTTATAAAAAACGAGTACATTTTCTTAACAGGTATTTCCTGAGATTTTACTTGCGTAATTTCTCATCGTACATAACTCCAATACATGTTTCAGCTTTTCTTCAAACTGTTATTATCACGTCTCTTAAAATAATATATTTTTCGGTGATAATACGCTCGTTTGTATTCAAAGGTTGATTTTTCTGATTTTTTTCTTTCCTTGATTGATATATATTTCAATTTTTTAATCAGAATCTGTAAACTCGTTCTTACAGATCTTCATTCATTTCTCTCGCATATTGAATACTTTGATCATTGTCGCATCATTCCTTCATTGATTGTGCTTAAAGCCAAATATCTTGATCAATTTTTATCTGATCATTGTGCTTTATCTGAAATATTATTTGTGATCAACTCTTGTGATCATATGAGCATACTGTATTTAGGAGGGACTGAGTGCTTATCAGAAATACATCTATGGAATGTCAAAACCGACAGACCTACCCAAGAGGACAACCATATGTGAGTGAGTTTAAATACAAAAGGGTTTGTGTGCAGAGCTTAAAATGAAAAAGAGAGGGGTAGTTGTTGTGAGCTAAAAGAATTGATGAGAGTTGTGTCAGAATTAAAAGAACATAAGAATCCTGTTCCAAACTTCTAAAATGCGGACATACCACACAATCTATTAATTCTCAATTCTTTCAAGGCTAATATTGAAAAAGGCAAAGCCCAGGCCAATTCTTGTCACAACCCCACCAACTACTCATTTATCTCTCAACGAATAAGTGTTTCAATAACACTTGGGGCACGCAGCTCATCTTCTATCAATTTCTCATTCGGAGAAAGTTGATATTGAATTAGAAGGATATATGTCCCCCCCTTCAAGTCTTTTTGATCACTAATTGAGTCTGATAAATTTGTGTAGTCCACACGATTTATCATTTTGAGCCTAAACAGAAGCATACGTTGCTTTAACTTTCTACACTACACATATTTTGCATTTTATATGTTATTATGCCAAAACATTCATAGATATGGTAATTTTAAGCAATCGATGATTGAATGGGAGATATGGTGAGAAGAGCATCAAAAAGTCTCATATATACAGTACATCCGTTGTACTGAGTATATCTGTAATACTCATAGGCCAATCTTTTTATAAGATTAAAAACAGTTTCATACGTTGAAATTGGTTGTTACCTTCCCATTCCCTTAATCTAAAAAGATTAAACAAGTGGATTTGAAAAGATCTACCTACAATTTCATGAATTGACAGCTTTCGCGGAAKATTTCATTCATTCTTGTGTATGATGTAATGCTTCTCATTTCATCATATGGGGGAGTATGAAATAATGAATGAAATGTTCAATTCCGAACATTATAAGGGGATTTTGTTGTAAAGTTCAAGGTTGTAAATATCAAGGGGGAGTAACTTCAATGATGGCAAAAGACTCAAAAGGAGTGCGACTAGAGATGATTACAAAAGATAATTCCGATGCTACAATGTCTGAGAGTTGTTGAATGTGAAGATCAATTTTTCAACAAGTTTTGCTGATAAAGATTACCTTTGAAGAGAAAGTGTGTTAAAGATCAATTTTGAAGATCGTTATTGTTTATGTTCTACATTGTCAAAAGAGAAGATCAATGCGGTTCTACATTCGAGGGGGAGAATGTTAGAAGATCTTTCTCAACAAACGATTATTTGAAGATTTCTAGTTGAAGATTGTTTTGAAGAAGACATAGAGTGCTTAAAGCAACAAAGTTCAAACAAGACTCAAATCGCACAAATTCTTTCAAGTCTGAATATATAAAGGGGGAGAATGTTAGAACTGAAATTCAGTGTAAAATTGTATGTCTTGAAAGTTAATTTTGTCTATAATTGTATTAAAGTCATCTTGTTTGACTTTTCATAGGATAGTTTGACTTTGACTTTGTCTAGATGTTTGACCCTATATAAAGGGTGAGTTGCTTGTAATTTTAGAGGGATTCTCATATTGTAAAATCTGAATACGTAATAAAGGTTTGACCATATTTGGGTTGTTGACTTTCTCTCTCAACTCTCAAAGTGTTCTTAGAAGAATCATTCAAATCTGCCATTGTTGAAGAGCTTTCATGAAGATTGATTAAAGTGGGACTATCATTGTATTATTTTTTTTTTTCATGATTTTGTTTTAAAAAAGTTCCAGATGTATTTGCTCAAAATTAAGTTCATGATTTTGTTTCTTAAAAAAAAGTTTGGGATTTATTTGTTAAAAAAAGTTCAAGAATTTATTTGGTAAGGAGATTTAGGGATTTATTTGTTAAAAAAATAGGGACTTAATAATTCAAAATCAGGTAGTTTGTTGGTATATTTTCTAGATTCTTATCACATTAACCTGTTTTTATAGGTTACAAGGATGTATTTTATTAATTTAGAAAGTTCAAGGGTTTTATCATTAAGAAAATAGTTTAAGAATTTAATCATTCAAAATCAGATAGTTGGTTTTTTTTAACTTTTCCCTAGAAATAGGTATGAAAAGATAAGGTATAACTCTAAAAAATCGAGAGTTATCATACCCAAACTTGAATTATTACTTATCTCCAAGTATTAAAAAGGAAAAGCTGAAAAGGATGATAAAAAGAGGTTGACGATTCATTTTTTTTTTTGCTTTAATGAAAAACTTACACCGACCTTTCCTACGATTATTGAATTTTGGATGAATGAAGCACAATTATCGTTTAGCTTATATGATGTATAACTTCCTTTCATGTTATCTTTAAGTTGAATTTAATCAGTAGAGCTTGTTTTGGGTTTGTGTAATCATCTTTCAAGATTTTCTTTTGTGCCTCCCCTAAACTTGCCTTTTTAATAGAACTAAAAGAATTCTCTGCCCCATGTTTGAACTCCAATAAATGACCCATCCTAAGTTGGATTTTTACAATTTTTTGAATTGTGCTTGGGTAATATGGATCATACGTGTTTTTGCTTTCCCTTTCAATTTTTTGAAGGTTTGCTTTAAACTTAATATTTTATACCTTAAACTTGAAATGCACAATGTCTTCATTGGGATTTTTGGACACTTTTTTGAAAATGACAAGTTAGGTATCAAATGGAAAAGCATATGAACTGAAACTGTGAATGGAGGCCTTAGTCTTTTTAAACTTAATACTTATGGAAAGCATTTGAGTAAATTGTACGTGAAAATATGATTAGCTAGAACATTAAACAAATGTAAACAATCATGGAAAAAGAGTAGCACAAGGAAATCAAGAGCAAAGGCGTTACAGGATAAAGCTCAACATCCACGACATCCAAAGAGTTAGAACGAGAAAAACACCACAAGTATCCAAAAGGAAGAGCAAACAATTCGAAATGAAATTTGTTCCAAAAAACTAGTGATAAAATACGAAAGGACCATCGCGGTCCACTAATATGGTCGGGTAGCCACCCACGGCCACAACTTCGGTGCTTCAATGGAGTAAGTTGTGGTGGAAGATTGCTTGAACTCTACTTGTAGGCCTATGGAGGTTTTTTTAACTACTTTTGGGGGAGGAGGAGGAGAAAGAGGGAGAGAGAAGGATTTTCATAAGGAAAAAAGTGGGGGAATGGTAATATGATGAAAAGGTAAAAGAAGGTGGGATAAATGGTGTAGGTGTTTCTAAAAAAAAGGGGGGGGGGGGGGGGTTGGGTTTGGTAAGGTTTAAGAAGAGAGATGATGGTTTTAGAAAAAAAAGGAGGGAATGGTGGTTTTGATGAGTGGTTGAGAGAAAAATTTGGTGGAAAGAAGCGGTGTTGGGTTTTAATTCAATTTGTAACCGTAAAATGTAGCGAAAAAATAATTTTGGTTATATAAATTAGACAAAGATTTGTGAATATTAAAGCTCAATTCGGATCCAATGATATATTTACTTAAATTTCACCACACCGTAGGGTGTTCAGAATTTCATCTTTCAAATTTAGTGAGATTTGACGGAGCACTTAGAAACAAACGGCAGGTTTCCTCCATCGATGATCCACCGGGTGCTAGTTTAATACCCTAGATCTAAATATATATATATATACTAGTGGTGTACCCGTGCGATGCAGCGCGGGTAAATCACAATTCTGAATATGGTAAGAACTAAAAATCTTACTCGGTAAGAACGAGGCAAGAACTGAGAGTCTTACCTGGTAAGTGAAGGCAATGACTCTTACCACGGTCARCTCTTACCGGATAAATTGTTGCATAGAAAGCCGTTTTTGTTGACTAAAATCTTACCCGGTAAGTAAATAATAATATTGAATTTTACCGGATAAGTGTTTGATAAACGGCACCTAAGTTTTACAATACAATATAATGTACACAAAAACTTATTTCTAATTGAAAATCCATGTAAGAGCCTTAATAACAATCTTACTCGCTTGCTTGACCATATTCTTAGTACCGATAGTTTGGCACGTTGATATTTTAGTCAAACTTGAAGTAAAGAATGGCATCCCTTGTGAGAGACATATTTCAATTCATGAGAAAATGTATCTGCAAAAAGTAAGCAGACTAAGAAAAGTTGGTTATATGGTTTTAATATCATAAGCATACAAGCTTCAAGTAGTAGATGATATATGAAGGTAGTGGGTTACCAGGAGGTTTAATTGGTCAACATATCTTAACAAACTACATGAATGAAAATGAAAAAGCAAAGCATGAATCATTTTATTAAATACAAGAAACTTACTCCTGTAAATTGCAGTGTTCTAACCATCCCCACTTTTGCAATCTTGGGAGGAAACTGTATTATAAGAACTTACATGATATAATGAGCCCCAAAGCTAGCATCACTACAAGAAAAATAACCTTTAGAGAAGATTCTGTTTTGTACTTAAAATTCTTAAAAGCTTCTCTAAAGGCTTTAGAGAAGCTTTTCATTTCCKTCAACAAGTTTCTCTATGTAAGGGTAGGTAAATGTTTTAGGGACGGTTTTCGAAGGGTATGTTTTTTGTAGCTTTTAGAGACTTTTTTAGGGCTTTAGATACACTTCAAAACTTCTCTAAAGGTTAGTTAACTTTTTTATAAAAACTTCTCTAAATATATTTATTAGTGACACTTTTCAAGTATTAATGACGGTTTATAAACGTCTCTAAAAGGTGTTTTCTGAGAAGGTTTACAAAAAAACTTCTCTAAAGATATTGGCTTTAGTGACATTTTACCTAAACTTTCTCTAAAGATGTCCTTTAGTTATACTCTACAAACCTTCTCAAAATATTATCTTTATATACAAATAATCAAAACCTTCTCTAAATCTTATCTCTAGATACACTTTTAAAATATCAATTCTTTCTCTAAAGGGCATGTTATTATTATTTTTCATCCATATTCAAGATCTATATTTGTATATAATTATATATTATATTAATCAATAAAAACAACATAAAAATCTCAAAGCAATAAATTGATATAAATTTATAATATAAAAAAAATAAGTTCAAAACAATCCCCAACATTCAATCAATCTATAAATCCATTTTCTAACATCCGYCCTAAACTCCTCGCAAAACTTGATACTCTACCTATCACCTGCCATTTCTTTTCTAACTTTTTTATAGTCTGCGTGAGTAGAACCACGTTTGTTACTTTGCCTAGATGATGAAGCTTCGTCTGATTGCAAGGTGTCTGCAAAGGTGTTAGCCATAATGCAATAATTTCATATGAACCACTAACTGTGACAATTTCCCTCTTTATCTACAAGTCAATAAGCCATCAGAACATTTCAATAGCATAGTTATAGTATGTAAAAATTTGACTGTTTTACTACTTTGATGGATGATCAACAATCYAATTGTGATGGTTATAGTATGTAAGATAGTGTGTGCATCTGCAGCTGTGTGATCGTGATTAGTATGGGAGAACGTAAAACCTTTAATAACCCGCATGTTCTCAGAAGAGTAGTGTTCTGTTCTTCTAGCTAGATCTGCTTCTAATTTGGACTGCAAAACGTAAATGTTTAAAGAAAGAATAACATATTAGCATGTATTAAGTCAATGGATCACTTTGTAGACAGGGTTTAGTGCAACAGCTATAAGATAATTTCTTTTAGAAAATGGGTATTSACATTATCCAAGTTCTTTCATCGAYATCTATRCCCTGCAAATCMCAGATTCTAAGCATAAAATGGTAGTACTTTGTGCTTTATGATTTCTAATTAAGATATAGGTCTAAATGCTTATTAGTGTAGTATAGCTTACTGGTGAAGTGTTTCCATGCTATTTTTGCTAATCTTCATTTAGAGCATATATGGAGCCTGGGTAAATATTTTACACTRYAGGCACATATTTTCTRTTATCTTTCATGAAGTACTTATTGAACATTAGAAACTCCARCAAAACAATTTCTTCAGCAACTCAAGTGAAAGATTAAGATCATAGATAACATAAAATCATATCAAAACAATACAACAACTAAACCCTGGGAGTGGAAAAAAGAACCTGATGAGATTTTTGAACAATTTTAGTTTGTTAACAGGACTGTGTTGCTCTCGTTTGAACAGATGGATGGCTTTGTATTCATAATCAAGTCCTGTTGGCAAACGACAAACAACAGACTCAAGTTAAATATCTGTAATTGAAATGCTTATTAGGAGCGTGTACAAACSAACACAATACGCAATCTCAGGAGAAGAGAAGTGGGAAGAGAAGTGGTAATAAGAATTCACTTACRTAGGAGTGATGGTGTCTGCCCATTGGTGTAGCCAGTCTACTGAAATCCACCAAAATGACTCCACAGATGATTGAACAGAGGCTTCAGAGATAACTGACTRAACCTCCTGTYGTCGCTCTRCAWTGAGAGCCAATTTGGCCTCTTTCTTTGTTTTATATTGCTGACAAGATTCAAGATATGACTTATTCAACTCATTGACTTCCTTCATAAGATGAGATGGAAGATAAGCATCAGTTTGCAAAGAAATGRAATTTCCATCCTTCGGTATCCCTCCACCATTCACATTAGGTAATATTATACACTCAKATTCGTTAAAATCTTTTACTCCATACATCCATGTAAGAAACTAAAATTGCAAAGAGCCAAACCAAAGTAAACCAAACAAACCCAAGAAAATTAAAAAGAATGTTCATTATAAAGATGAAAGAATGAAGCATGAGCTGCTAACAGAAAGAGAGTCGATACAATTAAGAAGCTTATTACAAAAGCAATTATAAACTAAAATTAAGAAGCTTATTACAGAAAGAATGAAAGTGTGTAATGGTTTTGGCCTCTGATTCTGGTTTGAATCAGATCTGTCTGGTCTGGTTTACTATGTTTATTTTTGAAATTTTGAGGCCTATTCATATGCCATTGCTATTCTCTTTGATCTGGTTGTTTGAGAAGTATTGGAAATTTTGAGGCCTGTTCATATGACATTGCTGGTCTGGTTGTTTGAAATTTAACCAAACATTACAGATGTTATTATAAAGATTAAGTAGCAAAATAGATATGGTACCGATTATAAAGTTTGTGACAAATTACTTATATAACAAATAATCACTCGTAAAATTATCCAAGTATGAGTTAAGATACATGAAGCTTCACACATATACATCTAATTTCCACTTTTCTGAAACATATGCAAGAGTAATGCAATCATGTTTGTAGAAAAGTATTAATCCATGGAATGAGCCAAGATTAAGCTAAAGTATCCAATGTGAAGTCCAAGATAGGCATGGCAACGGGGCGGGGATGGGGCGGGTTTTGTAATCCCCGGCCCCGGCCCCGGTTCCGGTTTGTAATACCGTCCCCTGGCCCCGGCCCCGGTCCCCGGCGGGTACGGGGATTATCATCTCGTCCCCGGTCAAATTCTAGCAATCCCAGGTCAAAATCCGGTAAACCCCGGTCAATCTCCGGTCAAAACCCGGTAAAAAGTATGCTTTAGTTTGATTATACCGGGGATCCCCGGCCCCGACTCCGGCCCCGTTTTGAGTAACATTCCYCGTCCCCGGCCCCGTCCCCGCTTTGAGTCTATCGGGGATCCCCGACCCCGGCCCCGGGACCCGTTTTAGCGGGGAATCCCCGTCCCCGTTCGGGTCGGGTGAACCGGGTTCCCCACCGGGTCGGGGCAAATCACCATCCCTAGTCCAAGAAATAGAACAGAGAGTGAATGAACAATGCTTAGTACAAAGTAACAGACAAGCTCATTTTCATATGTAAAGTTAGTTATGAATGAACAAGGACTGAGAATAGATGGGCTCATATTTAGATATTCAGATATATCCTAAATACAATACCCGAGCTCCAAATTTCACGCCGCTGGTACCTTTTCCCATCATAAATTAAAGAAATCGATGTTTTGGAACTTGTTGATATGTACAAGCCCAGAATAGCCAGGTCAATCAACATAGATGGAGACATTTCTACAATTCGATTTGCATATGGTAACTTTTTGAAGTTCAAATACCCCTAATTCTAAAATGGAGGTAAGGTAAAGTTAACTATTAATCTCAAGTAAAACAAACAGTAGCTTTCATTACATTCAACCATATATGTGCATCTGTGCGTGTGATATAACTCCACAATGTCTCTTTATATATCCTGTTCATAATGTTTCAGTGTAAAGATATTGTAGATCTATATAAACATCAAGATATTTCCACCAGCATGATGGCATGTACCTGATACACAGATTAAAGACCACAGGAGCTTACCTCAACTCCTCCATTTTCTTGAAGAGCTTGAGAAACCAAAGCAACTCCTTTATTTGTTGCTTGAGATCTAGCCAAAATAGCCTCTGCTTCTCCTAAACTAACATAAATAACAAGGTTAAAATAGCTCTATATTTAAGCTTCTTAATTCCATATGCCAACTTACCCTGAACTTCCAACATCATGGAACTCTTCTTTCCATCAGCAATGTTAACACTTGGTTGTCTTTCTTCTGAAAAATAGAAAATTACAGATGTTAAATATACGAGTATAGCATAAGTTCGTAATCACATATTTCGTGCGTGGAAATGGAAAACTATCTATTACAGGTCCATTCACCCATGAAATGGATTAACACTTAAAACTTTAGGCTCTCAGTACGAGTGACAAGGCATGCAAATATAGGTTGTTAAAGAGTAAATTGACGATTCTAAGATTTCCCATGGCTTGATTATGTTCCAAAATGTCTCAATGAATTTACAGAAGATGAATATTAGAATATATGGTATAAACTTCCAGAATGACAAGCATGCATGTTTTAGCACATGTTCGCCACTCCAGTTTGAAACAAATACACTGATTATGATGATATGCTGCACCTTGTAAAATTTAAGGTATATAAAGATCACCTTAAAGGGGTTTTATTACCTTCCGACTCCAGAATTTGGGCTCTCTTTTTCTGCTCAGCTTCTGCCTGCATCCCCATACCTTCTTTTACACCACAGTGAGGAGATATATCCCCTATATACAAAAGAGCTCAGATGTAAGGCAGAGTATTCATAACAAAGTTTTTTTTTTTGGGAAAGTATCAAGTTAAAATTATGCTTGACTGAAATACTATAGTTTACTTGTTTCACAACGAAGACATTGCAAGCCCCAATCTTTTGCAGCTTCATTGATAGCTATCTGGAGAAAAGTACATTATCAATCTTACTGGGTATGTTCATCAAGACATAAGTATGTGATCATAACCAGTTGTGTACCCAC